CGCGGATCAACGTATGGACGACGGCATGGCGATGGTTTTCGACGCCGCGGAGCTGCAGCACGAGCTGGAGATTTTGGGTCGTCCCGTCTTCGAGGTGGAGTTAACGTGTGACAAGCCAAAGGCGATGCTGTTCGCCCAGCTCAGCGACGTCTCGCCGGATGGCGCAGTGAGTCGCATTTCCTTTGGCGTGAAGAACGTGACACAAGCCGCAGGCGACCAAAGAATTGAATACCTCCAAGAGGGGAAGCGGGTTCGTGTCAGGGTTCTGCTGAACTATTGCGCTCATCGTTTCACGAAAGGCCATCGTATTCGCCTCTCTCTTGCGAACAGCCAATGGCCAATGTTTTGGGTATCGCCTGAGATCAACACCCTGTCGTTGGACCTCAGCACGGCCACGGTGCGGCTACCCACGTACCGCGGGCCGGCCATTGCCGGTCCAAACCCGCAGCCAGAAACAGCCGCTCCCACCCCCCTCACGGTCCTGCGTGCGGGGTTTGTGGATCGGTCCATCACTTACGACATTGTTAAGGATGAGTGGACATGCATCACAGATGGTGTGGGCGGTGTCTTTGGCGAGGGAGTTTACCGCTTCGATGAAATTGGCACAGCCGTGGAGCACAACTTGAGGCGAGAGCTAAGACTCTCCAACAAGGACCCGCTCTCCGCAAGGTACGACATCAAGCAGAAGATGAAGATGGGGCGCCCTGGATGGGAGGCGGATATTGACATTGACACTCGCCAAACGTGTGACGCGAACTATCTTTACGTAACCGCGGAGATACAAGCAAAGATGAATGACGAGATCGTCTTCGAGAAGAATTGGTCGCGTCAAGTGTACCGTGAAGGGATGTGAGTACTGAATGGGGCCGGCAGGCTGGGGGAGTGGCAGCCGCCTCCCATCTCTGTCTGTCATCACTCACTTTTTTAATATTGAGCAATAAAAGTAACCAAAACCTTTCCCCTCTCCATTTATGTTTTTTTTTATTTTTATTTTTACTTCGAGCGCATATGCACATCTACGGTTTTATCTATTCAAAGGGAAAAAGAGGTGCCAGGGTGAGGGGGGGGATCTGCAACCGTGTTTGGTTTATTTTTTGTTAACTATTTTTTGGGGATAACCTGACAAAAAGATATGCACGAGTGAAAGGGAGAAATGTATGGGATGGGCTTGGGAAGTGAAACTGGATCAAAATGCCCTCTTCTTGACTTGTTGAAGGGCCTTTGGTTGGTTAGGAATCGTCTTTTTTTTAAAAATGCCCCATCCAAACTGACATGCACGTCCACGCACGGAGGGGGACGGAGAAGCCGCAAGACTTTTTTTTTCTTTGCTTAACTCTTTCCTGCGTTTGCCACCTTTAAGGGACCACAGATCATTCCCATTGTTTTTTTCTTTTTGTTGTTGCTCTTTATCCGCGTGTCTTTATGTTCATGAGATAAAAGTCGGTTCTTTCATATTTTTAAACTTCACATCGGGCACTTCTGTTTGAGATCCAAATGGACGACATGCATAACACCTCGCACGGAGACCATCACGGGGGCACCGAACACGGGGGCCATCATCACGTCGGGCATCACCATGGCGGCTGCAGCGCCACCACGGGGCCATACTCGTTGGGGCTGCATGTGGGAGCCATTTTTATTCTTTTGTTTGCGTCGTTTCTGGGGACGGTTATCCCACTTGCCGGGAAGTATGTGCCGTGTCTGCGGCTGAGCCCATTCTTGTTTGTTCTCGGCAAGTGTGCGGCGACTGGCGTGGTGCTGGCCGTTTCGCTACTTACCATGATTCATCACAGCATGCACAGCTTTGCAGAGGATTGTATACCCAAAGGGCTCCATGCTGATACGTATGACGCGTTTGCATTGCTTTTTGCGATGATTTCGGCGATGCTGATGCAGTTGCTTGATGTCTTGTTGGACGGCATGCTACAGAGCTGGTCAGCTTGCGATGCTGGAGCCCACACCTCGACAACTGTGGGGGAACCGGGAAATGAGCAAAAACAAGACGGCAGATGTGCGGGCTCATGCGGTATGGAGGGATGTGGAGATCAGCCGGGACCGAGTTGTGAAATGGGAGGGTGTTGCCAGAATCGTGGGGCCCTTTCTGCAGCTCACCTAAACAGTGCGAGACGTGTTGCTGCTGCGATTTTAATGGAGTTTGGTTTGGCTTCGCACAGTGTGTTTTTGGGTCTTTCTGTGGGGATTGCAAGTGACAAGGACATGAGGACGCTGCTTGTGGCGTTGTCATTCCACCAGCTGTTGGAGGGGATAGCGCTGGGCTCACGACTGGTGGAAGCCTCCATGAGTGTCATGCTTGAAGTGGTAATGACAATGATCTTCTCCGTCTCCGTACCTCTGGGCATCGCGATTGGTGTCATCACAATGAAGGGGACGCATACCTCCATGACGGGCCCGGCGTTTGTGGCACTGCAAGGGGTTGTGAACGCCGTGGGCGGCGGCATGTTACTGTACATTGCATTTTCTCTTATTTTTAACGATTTTCCGGCAGACATGCGGAGTGTCGCTGGGCCAACCGTGGCGCATTGTGGCTGGAGACGCTGTGCAATGTTTGCGGCTTTCTGGGGGGGAACGGCTGCCATGGCTGTTCTTGCCAACTGGCACTAGCTCTTTGTAATACATGGACGCATTATATAATGGTTAATGATTCTTGTTGAGGGACAAAAGAATAAATAAGTACATTTTTAAGGCGAGGAACGAGGAGAGTTAATTATTTTTACGGTTTTGTGACTGGGTGCAACTTAATGAGAGCCATATTTATATCTATATTTATTACTTATTTGATTTGATTTATTTATTTTGGTTAAGCGTGAATGGTCGAAGAGTCGGAAATAAAGCGAACAAAACGGAAGTAAATTTAAACGGCATTTTTGGTTTTAGGCATAAATTTTTTATACCATTTTTTTTTTATTCCCTGAGGGTGGTGGGGACGGTGCATATTTGAGTTGCGTCCCGGTGTTCATGAGGGGGGCCGGGGAAAGGCACCACAAGGAGCCGTATGAATGACGGGGCGTAGAATGCTTTGCGAGTCTGTAGAGATTGGTTTGGCCGTACGTGTGCCCAGTGATGCGCCCAGCATTAATGCCTTTTTTCGAATGTACCACTGCGTGTGTGTGTGTGTGTGGTTCGTCGCAAGGCGCGGGTTTTGGACGCCCAACCAGCCCGCATTCCCCGTCACGCGTGGGAGTGGATGAAGGTCGAGTTAAGCACCTTCACCCTTTCGTTAGTGGTTAATGCGCATGGACAATGATAGGCCATCTCGGACACTTGCCGGGCAGTAATTTTATAAAGTGCATTTATAGTCATAAAGGCATTGCGGGGAAGAATGCACAAATTTTTGTTATCCTCTTTCTTTAAAGGTAATTTCAGGCATAAAAAATGCCAGCCACGCATCCACGTCCTGTGTTTCTCACGTGTGTGTGGAGAATGGGAGCAATGCGGCACCTGTAGGAGTGATGGTGCTTGTCTCGTTATTGTTTAATGCTGTCTGAACACTGATTTATATATAAAAATATATAAAAATATATATATTTATATATTTTCTTATTTCTGTCTCTCTCTGTGTGTGTGTGTTGTCGTTGTTAATATGCCTTTGTGACCGTGCAATCCAAGCATGCATGTGCCTTTGCTGGCCTCAGGGTGCTTTCTCCAGCAACCCCCTTTTGTTCTTTTCATCCACCGCCGAAGAGGCAAGGAAGAAAAAAAAGATTTATTTTATTCGGGGCATTTGCTCCCTTTCTCCAAGACACAATGAACAACGTTGAGTCAAGTGACGCGCACTTCCCAAGCCGTGTACTGCAACAGGCAGGGGCAGAGTCTCAGCAGTCACAGGCTTCAACCGCACGGATGTACGCCCGCCCCGAGCTTGCCTGTACCGAAACGAAGGGCGAATATTCTGTTGCGCTCCACATTGTGGCAATTTTTGTTCTTCTGGTCGCTTCTCTTCTCGGGACGATGCTTCCGCTCGCAGGCAAATACTTCTCGTTTCTTCAACTACAACCCTTTCTAGTTGTTATTGGGAAGTGCATCTCCTCGGGGGTGGTGATGGCCGTTGCCATGGTACACATGATGAACCATGGCGTTCTTGGCTTAATGAAGGACTGTGTGCCGGAGTCTTTACAACAATCGTTTGATGCATTTTCACTTTTGTTTGCGATGATTGCGGCGATGCTGATGCATGCATTGGATGTGCTCATGGACTTAGTGCTTGAGAGTTGGGCAAAAAATAACGCAAGCGAGGCTACATCACAAATAGAGCAAGCGCAATTGCCAGAAATGGAGACGACGACAACCAGGCAAGAAATGCCGGGTGCAGGATGCCACAACCACGGGGAAATTTACACGGCTCGACTAGACAGCGCGAAACGTGTCATTGCGGCCGTATTCATGGAGTTTGGTTTGGCCTTGCACAGCGTGTTCCTGGGCCTTTCGGTGGGGGTTGCAAATGATTCCCAGACGCGGTCGCTCCTTGTGGCGCTGACATTTCACCAGTTGTTTGAGGGCCTGGCGCTGGGCTCACGGCTCTCGGAAGCATCCATGAACTTCAGACTGGAGTTGCTGATGACATTTATTTACGCCGTCTCTGTTCCATTGGGCACCGCTGCGGGTCTTGTCACCATGAAGACTTCTGACATTTCCATGACGGGCACAGGTTTCGTCACCACGCAGGCGGTGCTCGACTCGGTGTGTGGCGGCATCCTGCTGTACCTTGGCTTCACCCTTATTCTCAACGATTTCATGTCAGATCTGCGGCAATATGCCGGGGTGAATGCGGCGCATCGTGGCTGGAAGCGGTTTGGCATGTTCGTGGCACTGTGGGGAGGGGCAGCCGTCATGACGCTCCTTGGGAAGTGGGCGTAACCCAAGCGGCTCTTCCCAGCGGTCTCTGGCACGCAAAAAACAGGCCAAAGCATCGGGTAAAAACGGTGAAGCTAAAGCGGAAGCTGCACTCCATCAGTAAACGAAAAAAAAAAAACAGCAACAACAACAAAAAGAGTTGACTGTGAAACACAACAACAACAATGCATACACAATAATTTGCATGGAAATGGAGGGGATTGTTTATGTCACAAACGCAAAGCAAACAGAGCGGAATTTAAGGAAGTTGGAAATGGGAATGGCGGGTATGGGTGCGCCTAAGCCGCAACCAACAGCAGGAATTTACTCTGACGCGGCAATTGGTTTAAGGGAGTTGTGGGAACGCACAACAGTTAACAGTATGGACGGGCGGGACACAGTAAAAACGAAAAAAAAAAAAAAAAAAAAAAGGAGAGTTGTGTAGGGAGACAATAAGGTGATTTTTGTGCTGACAGCACCTCGTCTCTCTCTCTCTCTGTGTGTGTGTGTTTTTGTGTGTTTTGTTAGTGCGTCCTTCACCCTCCTCAACAAGAGGTCCAGGAATAATAAATGGTAGATGTCTGTAGCCCCAGCATGCAAGCAGGAAACCTGAAAACGCAGCTTTTGGCTTTCAGACACATCCTCACGAGAAAAAAAAAAAAAAAAAAAAAAAAAAATTACTTTTTATGCCCTGCCTTTAGAGGGCAAAATAATGGAGAACTTCTTTAAATCCAATGGGGGAATTAACAAAAAACGCGGCCGCAAAGAAAAGAGTGGCATCAAATAACAGAAAAGAGGAAAACACCACGCCACGATGTTAAACCTAAAAAAAAACAAAGAAAAGGCAAAAAAAAAAAACGAGAATGTCTAATAAGCCGAACTTTTCTGCACAGCGTTGCTGTGCTCTATACTACCTCCGCAAGTTAAATTTGAAGCAAAGAAAAAAGTGGATGACAAAAAGAAGCAGTAAATAAAACCCAACTCAATAACGAAGCGCATTTTTTACCACCCATTACTGCTAAATTTGCCCAATACTCAACCTGTGCCATAACGGACTTCTTTTCCCCCCAGATTATCGCCACAAATTGCAGTTTTTTAAATCCTACCAACAGAATGAGCGAAAACGAGACGTGCGATGCGCTCCTCTCCCAGTACGAGTTGCTGAGGGGGAAGATGGCCACGCAGCACTGCGATGGCGACCACGACGGAGATAAGGATGAGCACAGCCATGGAGACTGTGGTGGCTCCAATGGACCGTACACGGTGGGGCTGCATGTGGTGGCCATCTTCGTCGTGCTTTTGTCGTCGTTTCTGGGGACGGTTATCCCACTTGCCGGGAAGCATGTGCCGTGTCTGCGGATGAACCCATTCTTGTTTGTTCTCGGCAAGTGTGCGGCGACTGGCGTGGTGCTGGCCGTGTCAACGATCCACATGATCCACCCCGCTGCTGAGTTGCTTGAGGAAGACTGCGTTCCGGACTCGTGGAAGGAGTCATACGACGCGTACGCGTTTCTTTTTGCGATGATTGCAGCCATAGTGATGCACGCGCTTGAGACGCAGTTGGTGGCGATGTTTGCGAGCGACGAGTCTCCGTCCTCTCCTTCCGGGGGGAACGGGGAAAAGGGGGACGCGAACGGGGATGAGGAGCGTGCTGACGGTGCACCCAGCGGTGATATCTACCGGCACCATCACAGCCACGTGCTCGCTTCCGTGGAAGGCGGGAGGGCACATCGGCTTCTCTCAGCCCTGTTCATGGAATTCGGTGTGACGCTGCACAGTGTGTTCATTGGACTGACGGTTGGCATCACGAGCGACGCGGAGACGAAGGCGCTCCTTGTGGCGCTGGTATTTCATCAGATGTTCGAGGGTCTTGCGCTGGGCTCGCGGCTGGCGGACGCGTCCATGCGCATTTCACTGGAGTTGCTGCTTGCGCTGATCTTCTCCATCTCTGCCCCATTGGGCACCGCGGTCGGTGTGGGAGCTGTCGTGGGGTCGAAGATATCGCTAACTGGAGCGACGTTCATCATCATGCAGGCGATCTTTGATGCTGTGTGTGGCGGCATCCTGCTGTACCTTGCCTTTGTTCTCATGCTGAACGACTTTCCGACGGACCTGCGGAAGCACGCGGGTGTGGGTGCGGCGCATCGTGGCTGGAAGCGCCTTGCGATGTTTGTGGCACTGTGGGCAGGCGCCGGGATTATGGCGGGGATCGGGAAGTGGCTGTGAGTAGTGGAGAGGAAGAAGAAGGAGGAGATCCTTCTTTTTGGTAAAATCATAATAACTTTGTGTGTGTGAGTGTGTGTTTGTAAGAGATATGCAGGCGTTGTGTTTTCCGCGCGTCTTGAATAAAAGGTATAAAGAGTTGTGCGTGTGTGTGTGTGTCACTGTTTTTGTGCTTGCACCGAGTGCTATTTTTTAGGTGCGGCGCGCTTTTTTGTTTTTGAGGGGAAGGGGTGATGCGCGCTGGGTTGTGCTGCCAGACGGCCGACAGAGCTGGGCGATGGCCACACCCTACGCGCTGCAGCACGCAGAGAGGATGGGGCTGGCACCGAGGCTGCCTTCTCCGCCAGGAATGGTGTGTCACGCAGAGGACACGGTGAGGGTGTGAGTGTGTGCATGAGTGGGTGAATTGGCGGCAAACGTGCCTTGCCGCGGCATGAGCGGGGCACCGGGACGCTCTCCTGTGACTGTAGTGGACCACCATTTCCTGTTTTTGTTTTGTTTAATATATATATATATATATATATTTATTTTTGTTCTTTTCTCCATAAACGTGTTTGGTGACGGGGAGGAGCCTGAGCCGGGAGCATCTGTTCGGGCCGCGGTGTTGTTCTTCGCTGTTCAGCCGCCGCCTCACCCCCGCCTGCGCAAACAACCCCTTGTACGCACGCTGCCTGTCTTTCTCTCTCCGCTCTTTTTTTGCTGGTGCTGTGTGATTGTGTGGCGCCTTTCCGCTGCCGCGGCACACGGGGCGGGCATCAGTGCGAGAAGTTCACGCTTTCACCTTCACAGCCAGAGTTTTTTTTTTTTTTTTAATCCTACCAACAGAATGAGCGAAAACGAAACGTGCGATGCGCTCCTCTCCCAGTACGAGTTGCTGAGGGGGAAGATGGCCACGCAGCACTGCGATGGCGACCACGACGGAGATAAGGATGAGCACAGCCATGGAGACTGTGGTGGCTCCAATGGACCGTACACGGTGGGGCTGCATGTGGTGGCCATCTTCGTCGTGCTTTTGTCGTCGTTTCTGGGGACGGTTATCCCACTTGCCGGGAAGCATGTGCCGTGTCTGCGGATGAACCCATTCTTGTTTGTTCTCGGCAAGTGTGCGGCGACTGGCGTGGTGCTGGCCGTGTCAACGATCCACATGATCCACCCCGCTGCTGAGTTGCTTGAGGAAGACTGCGTTCCGGACTCGTGGAAGGAGTCATACGACGCGTACGCGTTTCTTTTTGCGATGATTGCAGCCATAGTGATGCACGCGCTTGAGACGCAGTTGGTGGCGATGTTTGCGAGCGACGAGTCTCCGTCCTCTCCTTCCGGGGGGAACGGGGAAAAGGGGGACGCGAACGGGGATGAGGAGCGTGCTGACGGTGCACCCAGCGGTGATATCTACCGGCACCATCACAGCCACGTGCTCGCTTCCGTGGAAGGCGGGAGGGCACATCGGCTTCTCTCAGCCCTGTTCATGGAATTCGGTGTGACGCTGCACAGTGTGTTCATTGGACTGACGGTTGGCATCACGAGCGACGCGGAGACGAAGGCGCTCCTTGTGGCGCTGGTATTTCATCAGATGTTCGAGGGTCTTGCGCTGGGCTCGCGGCTGGCGGACGCGTCCATGCGCATTTCACTGGAGTTGCTGCTTGCGCTGATCTTCTCCATCTCTGCCCCATTGGGCACCGCGGTCGGTGTGGGAGCTGTCGTGGGGTCGAAGATATCGCTAACTGGAGCGACGTTCATCATCATGCAGGCGATCTTTGATGCTGTGTGTGGCGGCATCCTGCTGTACCTTGCCTTTGTTCTCATGCTGAACGACTTTCCGACGGACCTGCGGAAGCACGCGGGTGTGGGTGCGGCGCATCGTGGCTGGAAGCGCCTTGCGATGTTTGTGGCACTGTGGGCAGGCGCCGGGATTATGGCGGGGATCGGGAAGTGGCTGTGAGTAGCGGAGAGGAAGAAGAAGGAGGAGATCCTTCTTTTTGGTAAAATCATAATAACTTTGTGTGTGTGAGTGTGTGTTTGTAAGGGATATGCAGGCGTTGTGTTTTCCGCGCGTCTTGAATAAAAGGTATAAAGAGTTGTGCGTGTGTGTGTGTGTCACTGTTTTTGTGCTTGCACCGAGTGCTATTTTTTAGGTGCGGCGCGCTTTTTTGTTTTTGAGGGGAAGGGGTGATGCGCGCTGGGTTGTGCTGCCAGACGGCCGACAGAGCTGGGCGATGGCCACAGCCTACGCGCTGCAGCACGCAGAGAGGATGGGGCTGGCACCGAGGCTGCCTTCTCCGCCAGGAATGGTGTGTCACGCAGAGGACACGGTGAGGGTGTGAGTGTGTGCATGAGTGGGTGAATTGGCGGCAAACGTGCCTTGCCGCGGCATGAGCGGGGCACCGGGACGCTCTCCTGTGACTGTAGTGGACCACCATTTCCTGTTTTTGTTTTGTTTAATATATATATATATATTTATTTTTGTTCTTTTCTCCATAAACGTGTTTGGTGACGGGGAGGAGCCTGAGCCGGGAGCATCTGTTCGGGCCGCGGTGTTGTTCTTCGCTGTTCAGCCGCCGCCTCACCCCCGCCTGCGCAAACAACCCCTTGTACGCACGCTGCCTGTCTTTCC